GTCGTCAATTAGTACATTAAAAATTATATAATTAAATAATATATAATTTATTAAAAAAAATCAAACTCATTTTCAATTTCTTTTTTTTAAGGATATTTCATTATATTTATAAAAAAAAAACTTGTATTTTTTTATTTATGTTTTTCTATTTGTTTATTTACAGTAATAATTAGTATAACGTATAATAAATTTTACAGTAATAATTAGAATATAATTTGCTTGTTATTGCTTCTATTTATTTTTCAATTGCAATATTTCAAATATACATTTTAATGTCAATTCATATTGTTAATTTAGAATTTTATTCAAATGCAAGAAAATATTATTTTAAGTTGAAAATATTTTGCATAAAAAATTTTTAATTATAATATCATTGTAATAAGATACATTATCATACTACTTGTGTATTAGTTCATCTTATAAATAGTTTTAAAAAGATATTATTAATTTAACACAACACTAATATAAAAAAAATAATACATACTTATACAGAAAAAAGGATCGTTGACAATCCAAACTATTCCTATTTCAATCTTATTGAATCATGATAATAATAATACTAAATAATACTACTTGATCTATACTAAAGCTAATTATAGAGGAAAGTATGTATAAGAATATATGATTAAATATATGATTAGACTGTTTGATTTCAGATATATTTTAAAATTTATTGACTAAGTATTATTAAGTCTTAATTGGATTTATAAGTGGAAATATTTTCGCCATTACATTAAAAAATTTGAGGAAAGTACGGATTTCAATCCTATTATATGGAAATCGAATTTAATATTATAATAGTTAACGAAATTTATTTTGTCGCGAATATGATTTTGATAATCGAATACTAACATTTTTTAAATCATATTTTTATGTAATTTTTTAATATAATTTTTAGTCAATAATATGAGAAAAATTCAAGTGAAATAATATATAATATTTATTCGTATTTTTATTTATTATCATTTATTAAAAAGAATGTAATCAAATAATTATTAAATTATTTAATTAATGTAATTTAAATTTAAGATATTGTTTCATTTGATTTTAGAATAGAACTTTAGATTAGGTAATATAACATAAATCTAAATCTTAGATTTATATCCTAAAAACCTAATCTAAATTTAATTCAAATTAAATCAAATCTATTTTAAATATTAGAAATATGAATATATTCTATTTAATATATTTTTATATATTATTCGCAAATTAAAGCCAAACGATGACATATTAAGAACATGTCAGGAAAAAGTTATTCAAAATATTCTTTGATATTTCAAGGCTATCAAAATCCGTTAACCCTTTTTCTATATAAATATCATATACTTTTTGCATAATATTTATTCATACTTTTAATTTTCTTTCTAAAAGATATTTTATTTTTTCAATTAAAGTATCTAATTTTAAATTTATTAATTTACATAATTTCTATTTTCAAAAACTTTGCTATTTAAAAAATTTTATAATTAATAAAATAAGCCATAATTTGTTGATATTGATTTATGAAGAATATAATGAATGCAATATATCAACATTTAATTAATTAAATAATTCACTAGTTCCTTTCGTTATTCTATACATTTTATATATATTATACATATTATACATATTTATACATATTATATATATAGTAGAAAATAAGTTTTTTTTAGTTTATCGATCGTTTATTTATAAAAGTTACATAAATATTTTAATTCTTCAGTTGTATATACAATAATTTGATTTTACATTGATGAATACATGATTCTTTGTAGATGAAATTGGGAACTTATTTATAAAATGATTCGATATACGATATAACATAAAAAACTCAAAAGTAAAAAATAAAAAAAGAACATAAAATAAAAATATTATTAAATATTTACAATAAAATATTTTATTCATATTTGAGAGCGCATAATATATATTTATTCATAATTTTTTGCTCATAATTTAAACATTAAATGACACACATATAGATATTTTTATATTGTATTTGCTAATGGAAATATTTCAGAATATTTTAATTTTTTATGTATTTCAATTTTTTCTCAGATTTCAAATTAAAAAGTAATGATTATCGTATGGAAAGTGAATGATTAAACATTGAACGCAAGCTATTTTTAACAATTACAGAGATACATAATGTTTAAAACATTTTTTTCCTTCCAGGAAAATAAAGAATTTTAAAATCCGATTAACCCATATACGAGCATTGATTATTTCGAATATTCTGAACATTCCTCAAACGTCATTCTTATCCTTGAACAGCTGGAAATTAACGTTGATTATTGCACAGACAAGTCATAACAGACATTGTCTTGTTGCAATTAAGATAAAGACTTAAGAAATCGTACTCATTGAAAGAATGACTATTATAAAATAAGACTGTTTTATCAGATTAATTCTGCAAACATAATAAATTAATATCGTTGTATCATACATTGTTTTAGTGATGATTCGAAGTTTCGATCCTGATTTGCCTACGATATCAGGCGGACCCATCAATAATACATACGTGTTTCAACAATTACACTTTCATTGGGGTCAAAATGATAATCTTGGATCCGAAGATCTTATCAATAATCACTCATTTTCCATGGAGCTGCACGCAGTCTTTTGGAAGAAACAGTATGGCTCATATGACAAAGCGACAGAATACTCTGATGGCCTCACTGTGCTTGGATACTTGTATCAGGTAAGTATTAGGTCATTATACGAATAATATTCCTTTAGAAGAAGCTTATTAGCTTATTATAAACTTTTAAAATAGAATCAATTCATCATAGTTATAATATGTCCCTTTTATATTATAATCAGATAATTTTGCGAATATAATAAATTACATGAATGTATTTTATAAATAATTTTATTATGTTATTAAATAATCTTATAATTTAAAATATAAAAAATTATAAAAATCAACATCTTTGAGATACAGTACTTAATTTTATTTCAAAGTTTAATTTTACTATAAAATATCGTTTTATGTTTATATTTTATAGAATGTTATATGTAATCAACATTTTTAACATGTATTTCAAAGTTTAATTTTATTTAACTTAATTTTTAGAATATACTTATATAAAATTTTATTTAATTTTCATTTTATACTTATATAAAATAAATGTGATATTTATTACTAAAGATTGTTCTGAATTTTATTAATTAAATATGAAAAATAATCGGATGTTATTTTTAATAATTATTATATATTTCTTATATATAGCGTGTTAATATGTAAAAATTAAAATATCGATTTTAAATAAAAATAAACTTAAAATTAGTACACAAAAATGCAGGACTGGGAAAAATAAATTTTTTAAACAGATAAATAAAAATAAATATTTTTATTTTTTTGAGTGATATAAAATTTATTAATAAATAAATTTTTTCTTGAAATAGTATTTCAAATAATATACAAGGTGTTAAGATATTCATACAATATCTTTTTTCATAGAAAATCAATACCTTTTAGAAGGCAAAATAAACACAAAAATTGTATTGAGGCTTATTTATTAAAATATAAGCAATTTAAGTTTGCATTAGAGAAAGCGAGATGTAAATAAAGCGAGACGAAATTAAATTATAACTAAATAAATAAACCTCGATCGACATTTTCGTATATTAATTATTATATAATTTATCTTCGTTTTAGCCTTTAAAATCAATTCTTCAAAAATGTTCTACGAATACATTAACATCTTATATAATATTTGGAAGTTTTTAATTTAATATTTTATAGTACAATATAAGCTAATAAAATATTATCATATTGAATTTATACAAGAAGATTGAATTTTCTATCTCTTATTTTTGAATTCAAGAGTCAATAATAAATAATATTTAATCATGATTTAATAAAATAGAAATTTCTTCACTTTAATATTTAATTTAAGCAAAATAAAATAGTATTTTTAAATAGTATTTGACTTAATCATTAAATATAATAGTATTTTCAAATAATATTTGTTTATGAAAATCTTTCAATTTTTAGTATTTTGTCTCAAACTATTTCAAATTTTTCCTAGTTCTATAAAAATATTGATTGAAATTTATTTATTAAATTATAAATAAAATTAAATTAGATAAATATAGACTGAAATATCTTCGTTTTGCTATTTTTTTTTTACATAAATTTCAATTACTTATGATATAATAAATAAGCTTTAATCGATATTTTTATAATATTTATAACTTTTATATTTGTTTTGAAAAATTATTTAAAATCAATCTTTCAAGAATGAATAGTTACGAATAAAAAAATAAAGTTCATCAACTTTTATATTTAATATACTATATTATGCTTTTACCATAAAAAAAACGAATTTATAGATAAAAATAAATAACATTAATGAATAATAAATTTCTACTATATTATCTACTATAATAATTTACAATATTTATTAATTATATACAATAAAAATACTGGAAAAATAATAGTAAAAAATAAATTTAATTGATAAATAAATATATCATATCTATCAAATTCTTTCGATTCAAAATATTTTAAATGATCAAATTTAAAAAAAAATAATATAATTAAAATCAATAATATATTAAAACAAAATTTATCTATTGTACAAAAAGGTGTGTCTAAATATTATCACCCGAATATTATTGATCATCATGATTGTGAGATTATTTATAAACTATTTATATTGTGAATGAATTTAATGATGATTGATTTTAACTATTTTTTATAACTACTGGCTAATTGTGATCTGACTAACTTTTGATTTTTCAATTTTTTTTCTCTGATTGAATTCCGCAATTTCTAATCGAACTGAATATGATCTGATTGAATTCTACGTCGATTAAATAAAAAAAATACGATCTCATTTGAATTGAATTTTTCTGGTTTCTGATCGAGTTCCGATTTCTGATTAATTGCAATCTGACTGATTTTCCCGATTTCTGATCGAACTCTAATTTTTTGGAAACTATCACAGATCCTTCTTAGTTATTTTTCCAGTAATTATTTTTGATGAAAATGTAAAACTAAATAAAAAGAATAGTAAAAAAAAAAAAATAGTAAAAAGAACCAATGTCATGGGTATTCGTGAGATAGCATCGCAACGCATAAAGATTAAGACCCTTGGGACCATTTCTCTATAGCGATCGGTTGCAAAGCATTTGGCGCGCAAATGTGACTTCTGAAGTGGCCAATGCTTTGTGTCTCAGTCATTCGAATAACTGCTATTGAGAATTTGAAACAATACGAGGGAACTGCATCTGCTCATAAATTACTAACTCAACTTACTGTTGAAAATGCTGAAGCTATTGAAATTCGAATATCTTGGCCGTCTCATAATCAGTTCTGGTTTTTGTCCTTAACAAATATTTAATTTAAAAGACAAAATATTTTTAAAAAGTCAAACAAGTCTTGTTCGAAAGAAAAAAATACTTATTTTTTTTAAAGTAAACATAAATTTTGTAACTTTTTTTTTTTGATTCTAGGCTTATAAAATATCGCTTGTAAAATAATATAGGATATGATATTAAATAAGAATTTTGGGAGTATAAGTGAAAAAATTGTTTATTTGAGAAAATCTAGAATAAAATTAAATTTTCTAAATAGAAAATTTTATATACTAATATAGAGATGAATCGAAACCTGATATTTAAATTCGCAAAATTCGAATCTCAAATTTTATAAGAATTCTTGAAATTCTCGTTGACTCTATTATTTTCTCTTTTTTTGTATCTATTTTATCAAAAACTAAAATTTTAATATTTAATTTCTTCAAAACTCATGTCTATAATTAAACAAAAAACATTTTATCTTGTAAAAAATTTAATTTTTATTTTTTTTATTTTCATTATGAATAATAAAATAATGAAATGAAATTTCATAAATTATTTATGCAATTATTCTTTATCTGAATTTTAAAAATTTCGAATCACAAAACGTTTTGAAGTGTAAGAAGTCAAAATTTTGATTAAAGAGTTTCCAAGTTTAAAATATATCATTTCTAAATACATTAAATACTTATATTACAATGAAACTATGAAATCAAAGATAAGATATATATATATATATACATAAAATAATTTAAAAATTACTAATTTAAATTATTATACTAGATTAGTGATAACATATAAAATAAAACAATATGTAAAAACGTATAACATATCCAATGTGAATCCAATATGAAGTAACAAAATTCTTTAAATAAATAAAAATCTTATTTAATATTTTCTGTATTTTTTTTTTTTTTCAAAAAAAATGTTACTTGCATCATAAATAAATCGTACAAATGAAAGAATTATAGTAAGAATTATAGATAACTTTTAACTATTTAAATATCAAATTCTTTTTTAAACATACTACAAATTTTTAATAGATTAATAACAATATTAATTGATTTTTTTTAATTAAATTTTAAATTTATCTTTCTTGGATACTAAATCCAATTTGAATATTAAAATTAGTTCTTTTCTTTAATCTCTTCATCAAAAAAAAAATGAAAAAAAAAAATAGTAATCAATAAAGTGTCATTGTAATTCATTTAATTAATGAAAACTCATTCATATGATTAATGAAATCATTTATATAAATATATAAATGATATTATATAAATATATAATAAAAACAATGTTTTTAAAAATAAAATAAAATATAACATTGTTAAATTTGTTTTTTTATCATCATTTAATATTATATAAAATGTTAATATATTCATGAAATATTTTTGTATATATTTTTCAATTCTAGAAATTAAATTAAATATTGGTTGAAGTTCATTTATTAACAATTTAAGTTTATAATTTAGCGTCAGAATAAGTGAATAATGTAACGATGATAAAACGATCTTACTTTATCTCCATTTCGCTTTGTTTAAGGCAAATTTAAATTGCTTATAACTTTATAAATAAATCTCAACCAACATTTTTATATCAACTTTTGTGTTTATCTTTATCTTTAGAATCGACCATCTAACGGTCAAATAAATGTATTCTATATAGTCTAGTTTCTGAACTTTTTAATCCATTAAAAAACCACATATTATTTTTTTTACGTTTATTAATTATAATTTTATAATTTTTATAATTTATCTTCAAAAATTTCAATGATTTTTTCATATTTATATTTTCTTGCGCAAAGTAAAAGATCATATTTTTTTTTTTTTTTACGAAATATGTATAATATAATATAATAATATAAATATAATATTCAATAATAGAATTGCAATAGTAGAATCTGTTGCATGCAATTATCATTAGTTTATCATTATTTAAATTATAGTTTATCATGATAGCGCATCTATTAATTTCAATGAAAATTCTAATTGATTATAAATGCAAAAAGAAAAATTTCCTCCTTGGTATTGCGCTTCATATGGATCTTTATGTACATATAATATACATATACATCCGTTTTCGTAAGTTGTATATTTAATCAACGCGTAAAATCAGTTATGTAAATCGTACATGCAACGCTAACTACTTGTGCGTATATAAAATTCTTAACATTCTTCTCTGTATATTTTGGATATCTGTAAAATTGTTTTGAAAAACATAAATAAAATTCGAACGAAAACAAAAAGCTAAATTAATATATTTTTGAGTTCGTCTTTTTTTAAAAATAGAAACATTATACCTGACTTCTATTTTTATCCAGTATAAATGCATATGCTTTTACACATTTCAATAAATTTAAATATGTTTGGTATTGAAAAATATTACTGGAAAAGTAAAGAAAAATATAAGAAAAATATTACTTTAATTGAGAAGCTCGTATATAAAATTTTTATCCTTAATTTCACGATTTAATTAATATATAAACAACATAATAAGAAATAATATATGTAGCATATATTAGCATAATCATATGATAGTGTACAATTTTATTAAAGAAAATTTTGATCTATGAAATAAAAATCTAATCAAAAATTAAAGATATTTTTTTTTTTCTATTTGGAATAAATATGATTATCATCTTTGTTATAAATCCTTCAATAAATAATTAATCTTTGAAGTAAATAATTGTCATTGCATAATTTATTATTATGCAATATTACATTTTATATTATATTTATCTTATATTTATGAATATATAATTTTAATGAATATTTTATGAAATTTTATGAATATATAAATATTCTAAGATTAATATATTATATATATATATTATCTTTAATATATAAATTAATAATAATAATAATAAAAAAAAATGTGTATGTTATAGGCCACGGATAAATCGAATCCAGTTTTTGAATCGATCGTGTCTCATATATCGGACATAGCGGAAGTTGACAGCAACATAACGTTAAATGATAATACTGTTCTGGGCAAATTAATCTCACCTGATCTTGCATCAGTGGAAAATTATTTTACATATAAAGGATCATTAACCACACCTCCATGCCTCGAGATTGTCCAATGGATCGATTTTGTGGAACCTCAATATCTTTCTCATAAGCAGGTATTTCAAAAGTTATCAAGTTTAACATAAATTTTAATATATATATATTTAGGATATTTTTAAAATATACAAATAATAAGTAGTTTCTAATACTCAAATTAATAAGCTATAATGATCATTTATGACATATAAGAATTTTTGAACAAAAATAATTTATTTTTTCTTAAAAATCATTATTTTATAACAGAGAATATGATGTGATATACACATAATATTTTTTTAATTATTAATTAATTTTTTAATTATTGTATGTAAAATAGCATGTAAAATTTTACAAGTTTGTAAAATCAAAAACAATTTAAAAATAAGTGACAAAAGTAAGTATATCAAATAATAATATAAATTGTTACAATAAATTTAAAGTTTGAGGATGGATACAATTTGAATATTATTTTATTAATTTTCTTATTATTCTTATTATAAAGAAGTAAATTATATATTATAATAAATTATATTTCAAAATTAAATTTGAAAGATTTCTTATACAAGTTTAAAATTCAGTATAATGTTTCAGTAGAAAAATTTGTAACATTAATAGATTTTTCAAAAAGATTGTATTAAAGAATCAAATTTTCTATTGGTATAAAACATTATAAATATTTATAATTTATAAATAGAATTATAAAAAATAAAGGAAGAAATAACATATTTTTATCAATCATTTAAATTAATGATAAAAATTTTAACCTTACTTTTTGAAAAAGATAATGAATTTATTCAGTTTTTTAATCAATAGTATTTTCAATAAAATATCAAAACTTTTATATTAAAAATTCGATCATTTCATCTACAACAATCTAATACTTTTATTAAATTCATTATTTAATTCATCATATAAATTTTTTTAGTATATTCATTTAATTATTTTTTATTTGTATTTCAAAAAATATCTGAAAATTCTCTAATGCAATCGAATCTTTATAAAATGGAATTTCTATTAGCGAAACATTCATTAGATCTAAATATTTTATTACATGAATATTCTATTATCCGAAATGTATGTATCTCTATGCAGTATTCGCAACAATATAAACAGACATTTTTCTTTATCATAGCAGTGAAAATAGAATTTAATTTGAAATTGACGTTGGATATATTCACATAGTATACATATGATATATATGACATCAAAACCTCAACGTCGTTTAATTATTCAAAATGAAAACGGAAATACTTAAAAAATTAATTCTTATCTTATAATGACGTCTTTAAGACGTCATGGATTTCAAACACGTTCTAATCATTGAATTCTCAGAAACTTATCTATTTATTGCGTTCCATAAAAATATCGCTAATTCTGAATATTTTCATCTTCATACAATTTTATTTTAACCAATTAATTACAAGTATTTGTTTTGAATAAAATTAAATAATATTTTTTATTATGATGATTAAATTGTAAAATAAGGAATCAAAAAAACTATAAGAGTATTAGATTTGGCAAAAAAATATAAAAATATTGGAAAATTCATAATTAGCATTAAAAAAAATGAAAATTATTTATATATAAGTATATAAACATCAAATGTATCTTTCAATAGAAAATGAAAATGAAAAATGAAAACTAGAAAAATCTCAATTTTATTATAAATATATTTTTCTCAAAATATAAAATAATTATTATAAAAATTGTGTTGTTCTAAATTTTTTTTATTTCTTATTTCCTTAACAATCTTGTTTCATTATTTTGGATAATGGAGGTTATATTGCAATTTGAAAATCTGAATAATATTATAATTTTATTCATTTCCTTTATTTATTATAAATCTTTTATAAATATAAATTTTCAAATTATTTACTATTTATTTGATATTTTTATCTTTGTAATTTTTAAACAAGTTTATTTTCTGAAATTTACTTCTATAAGTTAAACTTTCTTTATCATTATCTTAATTCGAAGTAATTACATGTTAAAAATAGATTTATCGATATTATCTTTCTTTTTTATAGATTTTTCCGGCTTTGAATTTTTATTAAAAAAACTCTTAGAAAAATATTAATCTTTCTATATTCTATTGGCACGTCGAATTTTTATTTGTTAAATTTCCTTTACTTTGATAAAATGAAATCTCCATAGTTCGAAGATTTTAATTTTATACCCGAGATTCACATTACTGAGATTTAATCATAAATATTTTTAAATGAGGAATGGAATTTTTAGTTTGTAAAATATTTCTAATTTTATCTAATTAATATCATATTTTTTTTTTTTTACTAATATTATAATTTTTATAAATATAACTTCATATTTTGAAAAAATAACAAAATATACTTATATACTTTCGGATAATGAAATAGTATAAATATAAATATAAATATTACTAGACAATGTTTTATTATATATGTGTAATTAAATTCTAACATCGTTTAATGAAAGGTATATTGTACAAATATTCTTCAAACACTTTCTTTTAGCTTTATGACTATTCAAACTTGATTATTAGAAGCCTTTTATTGGAGAAAGTGGTTTCTTTAAATGCTTAAGTAAATTCTTATTCTTATCCCATAAATTGCCACACATGAAAAATTAATAGTATTTCAATTATTAGAAATGTGAAATCTAAAAAAAAAAATGCAAAAAGAATTATTTCAAAAAGAAATAATATAATATAAAATATTATAAAAATAAAAAAAAAAGAATAAAAATGAATAAGAGAATCTATTTTTTTTCTCAAACAATTTAAAAATATCTTCTGTAAACAGTCTTAAATTGTGCTGCTTCGTAATATAGCTAATAGTTATAATTAATTGTCTATACATACTTTATTTATTTGCAGTTAGCTGTGTTTCGTAAAATTCAATCCAGTGATGGAAGAAATTTAACACATAATTTCCGCCCGGTGCAACCATTAGATGGTAGAATAGTTTATCGTAATATCCCAACTTCCATGATTTCCGGAACGATTGTTGCCCCAACAGATTCTGAACAAATGACGAATAGTTCTAAAAAACCAGAACAATCAGAAGACGAAGATAATCATAATGGACAACAGAGCATGTGGACTATATCACGTTTGTATCATTTTTTAGGATTACAATTTATTTTGATAATACAATATGATTAAAAATATTTTTAGTTAAAGATTAAAATTGATGTTAAAATTATAAAATATACATTAATTCTGAAAATAGTTGAACAGAACTAATTTCTTTAATGAAAAATATAATATATATGTAGTTTAAAAAATAATTGTACATGAATAATATGAATATATGAATAATTATTTGATTTTATTTTTGTTGTAGCATTTGCAGTGATACTTGGACTTATTTTTCTTATACAATATCAATAATACACTGGAAGCTTTAGTCAATTATTTTGACTTTTATGTAATTTGAAATAATTAATAAATAAGTAAATAAGTAAATTAAATAATATTATATTTAACATTAAATATAATATTAAATAGTGTATTTACATAATCTTTTTGATGCAAAAGAGTTTATGAAATTATTCATCTTTATATTTAAAAAATTTTATTGTTTAAGATATTTATCATCTTTAAGATAAGAATGAAAATAAATGTTTTTATTTTTAATAATTAAATATGTACTATCATTTAATTGTAAGAGCATCTTAAATAATGTACATATACATATACTTAAATTTCTTATACTATTATTAATATCGACTGATTATAAGCATTCACGATACTCATATAGACTTTTTTTCTGAATATGATAATTAAAGCAGTAGAAATAGAGAATAAATAGTAATTAAATTTGATTATATTTATTTGATAAACAAAGAAATAGAAATATTTTATAAAAATGACTGTATACCAAAAATAATATGTTTATTCAATAGTTCCTACTGCTGCCATGATAATATATATATATATATTATTGAGCCTCTTGGTAAATTGTATTTTCTCACAAATATGTTTATGAGATATATTGTATTGTATTATTGTATTAAAATATTTGTGACTTAAATAATAATAAAAAAAATGATTAATAATGCATTTTATTCATTTTTTATAAAATTTTTTACAATTTTATAAAATATTTTATAAAAATTTTATAAAACAAAATATCTAAATATTATACAATCTAAATATAATTAAATATATACATACATTATATATACATCTAAAAATTATATTATTAATAACATTAAGTTGGTGATTCTATTTGATCTTTGGTTGCCATATTCACTACAGCAGCTAAATCATGTTGCCCTTGTTTAAGACGTTCTCTTATAAGTTCTGCTATTGCTTTTTGAGTTCTTCTTTCTAATTTTTCTAATTTCTTAGCAACATCTCGTTTTAAATCCCAATCTGGTTTTCTAGGAGCAAGATTGCTGATATCCTAAAAAATAATAATTAAATGAAATAGAAATAAATATTTTAAATTATTTTAAATAATTACTTACAAGTTCTTCAATAACAACTTTCGTATTTGCAGCACTTAATTGATCTTTTACTTCCTCTTCTACATTGCCTGGCTTCGCATCTTCTAATACTTTATCTTTGAGACTTTCATCTTGTGGTTTATAACTTCGAAATTTTGGTCTGTCATAAATAAATAAAATACAAAAATTAGTATTAATTATTAGAGGTTAGTTAAGATTAAATTTGAATATGATTAAATAAGATTAAAAGAAAATAAAACTTACTTTGGTAATTTACTGGCACTTTCATTCTTATTTTCTTTATTTTCCTCAGTCTTTTTTTTCAAAGCTTGTAAACGTTCTTTTCTTTTCAAAGCTTCTTCTTCCAATGAACCTATTTTATCTTCCGCCATATTTGTTTTCTTACACTCTATTATAGATGGCGTTAATACGTATTTATGTTTTAATACAGTAAGTATAAAATTGTAGATTCTTTTATATTATTTAATCTATATTAAAATGAATATATAATATATATGGATATAAAATAAAATGTCAAAAAAAATTCAATAATTATCTTCTAATATTTAACAGGATTGCCAAAGAATTTTTTTTTTACCGCGTTATGTTATAAGAATTACCGCGATTAAAAAAATGAAAGAAAGTAAATATTAATATAGTAGCGAAACTTAAAAGAGAAGAAATAACAAGAATTCTATTTGTATTTTCAGGAAGTAGAGAATGTATTCAAACAATGTAATACAATTGATCACCCGTTATTTCTCTTTTAAATTTCTAAATTAATAATTGTAAATTACATCATTATTATTTTTTATTTTTCTAATGGTTATATTTTATCCGGCAATTCTATATGTATAGTATATGTAAATTAATAAAGAAAAAAAGAAGAATAAACTAATGAAATTTGACTTAAAAAAAGTAAATGAACTAATAAAATTTACCTTGCAACATGATGCGATGATGTATCGCCATCTAACTGCTATTTCTTAGTACTATAATATCAGATCGTTGAAATGATAAAAATGTATAATCAAATTTCTTTCTTTACTATTGCCTATATTGACGATGTCAATTATACTCTATGCAAAATATTCTCTATTTAAATAAGTATTTAAATTAATAAATAATTTTCTTAAATATTTTTATGAACAAAAAATAATCATGTATGAAAAATATGAAAATAAAAAATAAAAATTATTTTTCGAAAAAAATTTTTTTTATTTAAATTGAAAAAAAATTTATAAATAAGAATTTTATATAATGATGAAATTATTACTGATTTTTTATATTATTATGATGATAATAACTTTTTATACTATCACTGATGAAAAATGATTGATAAGAATGATCAATATGATTGTATTATTATTGCTATTATTATATCATATACATTAATAAAAGTAAGATAGTTTTCTTATTATATTTTTATTATATTTTTAATTAAAAATTAAGTAATGAATTAAATTTACATATATTATATATAATTAATATATATATATTTATACAATAAAATGATATTTAATTTTTTATTTAATTTGTTAATATTTAATTTGTCATTAAAAAATATTTTATTTATTAGCAAAAAATTCTTCTAAAAATAAGTAGATTTTTTTTTTATAGAAAAAAAAAGAATTGATTTGATATGATGAAAAAATTAATCAACATAAATAATACTTTTTTAAACGAATTAGTTTATTAACATTTTTACAAAAGTTTATAATATTTTAGCGTCAGATAAATTATAAGGAAAATATATTAATTATGTCTAACATTACCTACATACTTTAATATTATATTAGTCTTAGTATACTTTTAAAAACAACTTACATACTTATGTTTTATATAAATTTTTCTTTGTTTCTTTTGCATAACGTACGTACCATGCGCGTTTCATTTGATTTTTTTTCTTTACACAATAAACAATTAAGTGCTCAACATAATATATATTAAAATAAAATAATTTCTATATATAAATTTCTATAATAATTCATATAAATTTTTTTATAATTTGTATTATTTGTATATATTTGTATGTATTATTTTCATTATTTATAATAACTTTGAAAATAGTAAATAATTATTTTATTGTCATCAAGAGTTTTGATATTTAAAATTATATCGTAACTATATCGCACACTAAATATATATAATTCAATAATTGTTTCTGTTATGAATTTACCCTTATAAAATAATTTATTCGAAACTAATAATGTCATCTATTAAAATTTTTAATTGAAAATAAATAATATATTAATTTCTGGAAAGAATTGTTTTTTAGTCAGAAATCAATCGCCGAAATTAATACATTCAATATGTCCAATAATTTCACATTCTAAATTTTAGAAACTTTTTTTTTGTTTTTTTTTTAATCATATAAATTATATAAATTAACAACAAAAATTTAAAGTTTTCTTTCGAATAATTATGCTTATTATTATCAATGCGAATAAATATAAGAAAGTTGTTTTTTGTCAAAATGTTATTTATTTACAAAATATATCAAAACATATGCATCGATATTTTTGATTAACAAAGAGGAAAATTTTATACATATTATAAGAAAAAGTAAATAAGTAAAAATACAGTTTTATGATATTTACAATCTTTTTGTCCAATTTCTATTTAGTTTTATTTTAACCACGAAATGTTAATATAATTATTAGCGATTGTTAATGCATTAATTTAATATACCATAAAAATTGAAATTCAATCAACTCATTTCCAGAATATTAATTCAGATCCCAGAATACACGAGATTCATCGATGCATATACCACGAGAGAGAAAATCACGAATCTATGCCAAACGTTTGTGAAATTGAGGACATGCACGTATACACACTCGAGAGCTGGTACTCTTCCCTAGTGGCATTGTGAGGCGTCTCTTGTGGCGAAAGTTTATTTACAGTCTGCAAGATATTTTCAATCCCGAAGTGCACGATTTTGCGAGACCCTTGATCTTATAAGAGTTGAATTTCTTGCGATGCGACGACACCTATTGGCTAGCTCTCTTCTATAGTATGTTTGGTTTCATTTTATGCGAGTTACATATATTTTTCTAATCTTGAAAATTCTGAAGACTTTAGAGTTAAAATAATTCACATTTCCTTTTTTAAAATTTAGTTATATATGCCATAAATATAGTTATGTATATCACTTCTTTTAATTTCATCAAAATAATTAAAGATATATTTATATATTATATGTTAAATAACAAAAATTTATTAATATGAAAAAATTCAAATTCAATATTATAAATGTATGATCATGTATACTTTTTTGATGATTGAATGATGGAAAAAAATTTGATTATTTTGGCTTTCAGGTAAAAAAAAATATAGTAGAAACAAAAATCTATTATTAAATTTGACAAATTTGCAATTTTAAATGAATGAAAAAGTAATAGTAAATGTTATAAAAGTCTAATTAAAAAAGAATAAAAATATATTACAATATGAAATTCTATTTTATTTTTATTTAAAAATGATTAATGAAAAATAAAATTTTTAAATTTTCTCAAATATTTTTTTTTATTAAATTCATATTCTCACATAAAATTTTTTTCGCATTTTAATAAACATTTTCATAACCGAATATACTGTAATCTTTCAAAAATAAAATTTAAAAATAATAAATTTCTTTCTTATAAATCATAAAACTTTTCAATAATAATGTAAAAATTTTTACAATACCTTGGATTTATTCAATTTACTTTAAATGTTTTTAATATTTCAGAATATTAAAATTGGAGAAATTTTAAAGAAATTCAAAATTACTAACATTTTTGCTTCATTCAATAGATTTTTATAGATTAATTGTTAAAAGATTTTGAATTAAAATAATAATTATTTTTCTGATAGATTAAATGAATCCAAGAATATTATTGAACTTAAAATTGGATCGAATAATTGAATTTTTTAAAAACATATTTCAAATCTATAATAAATGATCTATAAAAGATTATCATTTTTTCGATTTTCATTCGGAGATAATTAAAAAATTAAATAAAAAATTATTTTAA